TAACATGGGATCGATAGCGCAAGATACGAATTAACACTGAAGTGAAGATAGCTTATCTTTTAGTGGCAAAAGTGTGGGCTGCGTACAGTGGGCTAAGTTCACGCTAATGAATTAACTGTATTAAGCGGAGGACACCTGCATTTATAAATATGACCACTTTTGTGCGAATCTTAGAAAACCACAACTTACTTACGCATTACAGGATTCAAAAGTTTATATTATTATTAGGAACATCATTAAAAGTGTATAAGAAAGGGGCTAGTACCCAACCCAACGGATAAGTAGCACGACTATCAAGTCAGAATAAATGGATTCTATTCCCAGTGCTCTAATCCATATTTTCATTACGATCGGCTTGTGTCGAAGGTAAAGATGATGAATTAATCAACGAATAAAGTCCTGTTAAGATGTGGGCGCACACTAAACGTCTTTCCTCACTTCTTCTGCTTTTGAGTCAACAGAGCGTATAGCTTCTATTACTGCGCACCAAAAAGAAATTATAAATGCAATAAAAATAATTAAAAAGAACAATCTAGATTCTATATGAATCAGTCCTAAGCCAGCGAGGAACAAGGGTGGGGTTGTTTAAAAAGATTTCGACTTTCTGAGTAAAATTGCTAACTAACTAAAATTCACTATTAAGGTAAATTTAAAATATTCAAATCCAAAGGTGACGGACGAATAAATTCTAAGAGTCTAAAGTCTTAAAGCACTAGCATCTAAGGCTTTCGGCGTTTATTAAAAACTCTACGGCACTTGAGATTTGAACCCATGACCATTGCGTTGCTAGTCTTGCTTACTCGGCCACTCAGGCGGATAACGAGATATTATTTGGTATGTTTGCAATACAAGAATGCATGCTACTAAATCCAATTTTGGATGGCACGTGAAGAACTGAAGTGCTTAAGAAAAACTTTAATGCGAAGAGTTAAACTTGTAATATCGCACTGGAAATCACAGTCACTCCCACTTGTTTATAGTTTACAATTTAAATTTATTTATGAATCCAGACTACAGACTACACAACACATAAACATAAATTATCGTATCATACATTATCATATATTGTTTGTAAACACAATTTGAAATAATTTAAAAATTTACGTTTTAAGTTTTACTCAGAGGCGTTACGTGGCGAGATTGTCGTTAACGACCATATAATCTGTTTTCCCTTTGTGCCGTCTATCAGATGAATAAATACGGATGAATTGCATAACCCTTAATGAGAATTAGCATCGCAGATAGGTTTTGATAAGTTTTTGGTAAGGATCGCCTCTACTACGCTTTGAAAAGGCAAAGGAAGATTTTTACTTTAATGAGTTTTAACGATGAAGAATCACATGAAAGTCTTAATTACTCTTTCGGGTCATAAGGTGAAGTTTTTTGCTTACTAAAATTTCAAATCCTTTTGCCTCGTACTTGTTTGCCTCAAATTGCCGCAATCTTGTAGATTGTACGTTGTAGGTGATATGGTTTAAAAAGTATTGTAACCATTGTCAAGCTTAACCTATGGTCGCAAATTAAGAATATATTCGTCATGGATAACAGACAAAAAGGAGACCGGCATAAAACGTTATTGATCGGAAGAACTTCGCTCGAGAAAATGCTTGAATTGGATCCGTAGAGACACGGTAGTTGCTAAACTAGAGAAATTTAGGCAAAGACGTTCATTAGTTCATTCATTCCTTACGTAATTATAATAACCCCTAGAGAATCCATAAATTTATTCAATCAATCGGCTTTCATTATTCAAGAAGGAATGTCTTCAAATTTATGTTAGAAGAATGTCCTTAAACAGTGTTCGCTATCATCTATAAAGCCTGACGAGCTACGTAAAGATATTGATTTAAAGTTAAACATTAATATAACTCATAGCGTGACTGATTTAATTATATACATTTGTACATAACAGCCCATATAAAATATATATCGTGCATGCCTTCTCATCGCTTATGACATAACTAATCGATGTAGAAAAGAACATTATAATTGGTTGATGTTAATAAAAAATTCATTTTTCAACATGTCGTGTGTCACACAAATGAGGATAATTAATGCAATAAAACACAAACCGTAAGAACAATAAGAAAATAACAGCAACAATATCAAAATGATAAACACTTAATAAAAAAATTATAAGAAAAAAACTATCGAAGATATATATTTACTTATAAATTATATACAATGCATTGAAATAAATTCTTACATATATCTGCATATATGTATGGGTGTGTGTGTATGTTTAATTTAATATAAAATAAAAAAGAAATACTCTCGCACTCCCACATGAATATTCTGTAAATATAAATATGAGTGTATATATATATGTATATTATATAAGAGTAAAATATTCTGGAAAAAATCCAAATATTTGATTGGAAGCCAACAATCTGTGCTCCAATAACCACATAACCCCACCCTAAGTGGTAAACGATAAACAACATGGCGACAGAACCGAAAAAAGAAGAATAATATGAAAAAAAAAAAAAATTTTTTTATAAAAAAAAAAAATTCAGGTAATTTAAAGCTTATGTATGTATATACAATGATTTTGTAAACAATTTCTTAATAACACATAAGGAAAATAACTTAAAAGAATACTGCAATAAAGCATAGACATTCACAAGCATTGCAGCAAATCACACCAAATACTATCAATGCCTTCTGTTTCATGCGGCTTAACAATAATAATAATAATAATAATAATAGCAGTAATAATAATTGTTATTATTGGTTTTCCTTTTATTCCGTCAGAATGCCTATTAAAAAAACTACACTGAAAAATTTCATAAGTAAATTTGCATTGCGTTCGCTTTCTTATTTTCCAATGAGAAAATTTTTCGAATTGATGAGAGAAGAATGTCTTTAGAGTGTTCAAGTGCGGAGACTGCGGAGATGGCAAATCAAGTGGACTTGTGTGCATTATCCCCCTGGGGGGAGGCGGAAGTATATCATAAATATTAGAAACTGACGATGATGTCCCACTGTCGGGATTGCCTCCCTTTTACCTATTTTTACTTTCGAACACATGTCACGGATGCCTGCGGGTAATGGTGGTAATTGATCAACGGCGCCGTGGAAGCCTTATGGCGGAAGCGAGCGTAAATTTTTTTTTTTTACCCTTTTTGAACGCTTATCGTTGATCAATTTGTGAGTCCTGACTGCTTGGGTGCGGCCCTTCGGGGAGTACTCGTGGTGGTTGTGGTTGGCGAGTTCCTAGCTAAAATGGAACAATTGAGTGCAGCTAGGCCTCGCCATTGACCAGAGTGGGGTTTATTGTTCCATACACAATAAACCGTTCTGGACTCTGGTGCTGTTTAGGCCCCTACTCTGTGGGGATTGTCTAACTCGCCAGGGGGCGTAGTACGCTTAAAAGTGGCTTGGGCCACCGTGGGGTTAAGCCTTTCAGGCAGGAACCCACGTTAAACCCTTGCCACAAATTCTGTCGAGATTGCCTCTGCATTGGCTATCATGGAAGAACAAATGTTTATTGTTTATTGTACTTAATTAGTACTTAGTTATTACACATCCCATTAAAAACTCTTTTAGGTTCCTTTTAAGTTCACGAAATTCGACAATTTTGTGCCTTTGAGGGTGAATTCTGATGTTTATGGGCCACCATTTACCACTCGATTTTTCGGTCAAGGGTAACTTACACCTCAAATTCAAATTTCGGTACAATCTTTTTCTAGGTTGATGGTATAAATAAGAGATTCTAGATTCGATATCGAGTAAAGTCACATGCTTTCGAGCGCCAGCAGTTTATTATGTTAATCTTAACCGTAAGCCCATGAAATAAAAATTACGTTCGAACTAGATCGATAATGGGAATTGCGAACCAACTGAAGATTTGCATTTTTTTAACCAGAAACAACCGACTGCATAAATTCGAAAATTGACTCTCATAGTTTCTTAAAGCCCACATTAGACGAATCGAACAACGATGAAAGGCAGTCAAGTGATGAATGAATGAATGAATGAGTCTTCGTGTTTGCATCATTTTATGTTTTATTTATAAATATTGTTAATAATTTTTTCAGAGTGTACTCTCGTATGGTCCGTCAATGCAACATGAGTTTGCAAACTAGTCTACAAATTATGGAGCAACAAACAAAAACATTTACACTCAAGCTACTAAAAATATGTGCATATGTGTACAAAACATACAATAACAACAAAGTGCGTATACCTCTATCAAAAGCGAATAATATGGTGGCTGATCAAAAGCAACAAAAACAAAAGAAAACGAGAAAGAGAAAGAGAGAGAGAGAGAGAGAGAGAAAGAGAGAGAAAGAGAGAGAGAGAAGAGCATACATATGAAAAAAACAAAAACCGAACAATATAAAAAAAAAAATAATACTTTTTTTTCTCAATTTTTAATGCTCGTAAAACCAGTTTTAGCACTAATACGATGACACACAACATAGCACCAACCTAGCAATCTCTTAACACACGAACACTGCACACACAATTATTTTATGCTCTCTAACTAATATGGACGTCAACAATCACACGCAGTATATCAATAAATTGGATTGAGACTCTGGCGAATAAGAATTTGCTTGTAATGAAACAGCTTATTGGTGTTTTTAAGAAAACAACAACAATTCACTTTTCTCGCTATGATCCACAAATATGATTGGCTGTTTATTAGTAAACGAGCAAGAAAAGAGAGCCTAGGTAAAGCAGAGCATCGATACAGATTTATAAAAAGAATTTCTCTCGCTTTATGTATTGTTGTATGATTAAACAAATCACGTTTAGTCTTAGTCTTAGTCTCTTATAATCATTGCTTTGCAACGGTCGTGTACATGGTTTTCAATGTTAAATCTATGGGAAAACGCTACAAATGAAAGGAAAAACGGTTAATGATTCAAAGAAACATGTGATAAAATGTAGTGATAAGGAATACACATTTAATAATAAAATACACATTTAAATAAAAAAGAAATTAAAGATAGCAAGCATACAAGAGAATTTGATTACACTAATAAAATTCATTTTTGTGTTAGCCTTTAACCGAATCATGGTCAAAATCGATGATCCATGTAGTGTTGAAAACATTTTAACGCATCAACATCAAAAGTCACCATTACATTATCATCATTGTCATCAACAGCAGCTGCATCAACCACAACATCAGATCTTATTGCAAAATCAAACGCAGTTGCAGCAACTTTGTAAAATGGCTCGCACACCACATTTGAAATCAAGTTTCTCCATTAATTCAATACTACCGGAGACAATTGAAGATAATGGCCATCAACGGCAAACACCATATGCAAATAAGCATAGTAATGAACATTTTAAGCCATATCATGGGAACGAGGAACAAGATGTTGGCGACGCTGATTCCGATTTAGATGTGACCAGTATGTCGCCCCCGCCAGCTACCGACGGCGGCAGCGAAATAAGTATAAATAGCACAGATGGCTTAATACATCAGATGCCCTCCAATCATCTTAATCATAATCATGAAGAAGAGGAAGGCGAGGATAGTGATTTAGAAGCGAGTTTGGATCCTGATGTTGATGGCGACGAAGATCTCGAAACAGAAATTGATGCCGAAGGCAACACAACTGAAGGAGAGATAGAACACAAAACAGACGGCGATAAATCATCCTCATCCAGTGATAAGAAAGACAACGAAAAACCTCCATATAGTTATAATGCCTTGATTATGATGGCCATACGCCAGAGTCCAGAAAAGCGTTTAACATTGAACGGTATCTATGAGTACATTATGACTAATTTCCCGTACTATCGCAATAATAGGCTGGGTTGGCAAAACTCTATACGACACAATCTGAGTTTAAATAAGGTCTTTGTTAAGGTACCGCGGCATTATGACGATCCCGGGAAGGGTAACTATTGGATGTTGGATCCTTCGGCCGATGATGTATTCATCGGTGGATCAACGGGGAAATTGCGTAGACGTACGACAGCGGCTTCACGTTCTCGTTTAGCAGCCTTTAAACGTTCTTTAATAGGACCAATGTTTTCGGGTCTAGCTTATCCGCAGTTCGGTTCTTTCTTGTATCCTCACCAACAAACAACAATGCCCGGTGGACCAGCGCCGACTACTCCCGGCTTATTAGCCAGCATGTACAGTAGATATAATCCTTTTGTGCCAAAGAGTCCTGCCTTACCTCCGTCACCGTTTACGCAGCGTATAAGTCCCGCGGCAATGACAGCCGCCAATTATAGCAATATGGAAAGGCTTTTAACGGCTGCTGCCATTCCTCCTCAAGGTCATCCAACGTCAGCAGCTGCTGCTACTTTACCCGCCTCGGATCTCTATCAACGTTTACAATATCAGCAATTGCTGCAACATCATGCAGCTGCCGCGGCCATAGCCGCTCATCAGAGACAACAGCAATTAACTGGTTTTCAACATATATCGCCAGCAGCTACACTTGCTAGTTCCGTCACTGCTGCCGGTGCTGGTATCCATCAACCCTTGCAGGTACTTACGCATCTCGGGCAGCAGCAGGCGCCATCGCCCTCACATTCAATATCACCCACGGTAGCTACCAGTTCACCACCCGCCGCTCCTATACTTAAACCGGTAACTGTCGTAACGCGTAATAGTAGCTGAGTTTGTCAGCATAATCAATGTACAGTGGAGTGTAAATAACGATCAATAATGTAAATTATTCGAAATAATTATACGAGAAAATTGTATTAAAATAAAAGCTTAGGTAGTTACAAGTGTTGTTTTTACAAATTATGTATCACGTGAACGATGGATAACTCTCTTAAATCGCTCAGTTTAATGCAAAACGCTATTTATCTATTATCTATACGTGTAAGTAAATTATTATAGTTATTAAAGAATTCAATTAATTTAATTTAAACGGCATAGAAAAACATTAAAATGTAAATAAAAAAGTTGCAAACAAAATATTTATTAAAAAAAAAAAGAAGAAAAGAAGTTTTTTATACACGCATTGCACCCTTCGTATTTAGCCAAGCGAAAGGTGAGAAACATTATCATAAATTCTTGCAATCAGCACATTATGCTAAAGCATTGTCTAGTATTAGGGGGAAGAAAAGTTAGATGCATTTCTTCCGCTTGGCTTCGAACTAGTAATTAGTTGTAATAATTGACTGGGGATGAGAGGAAAATATGATGATATTCTTACTAAAATACAAACATTTACATATACTTAGGTTAAACAACAACTAGCTCGGGTCTGTTGTGCTTCACATTGTCTACACATTCCATAGATGCCCTTATTTTTGTGCCTGCCGACAACGAAGCCGGTCTGATGAGCATGCTACACAGCATGCCTTTGCGATTAGTGCAACTTTTAGTAGAAATTCGTTTTCGTTTTCAGTTTCCTTTTTTCTTTTTTTTTTATAAATGTTTATGTTCTTTTAATTATAATTTGTTTTTTCTTTTCCGTGGCTTAGTTATTTTAAAATAGACCCGCATTTCTAATTTTTTTCATCTTTTATTTATGACCATACCGGACTTTACAAATTCCTTATTATAGTTTAATGAAGCAAAAATTAATCGAATGAAAGGGACTACGATTAAAAAAACTTGACATTGCTCTCTGTGAATTTGTAGTTTTGTAGCAATCGTTAATGTTCTAGGCTCACATATTAGGCTGACGTTAATGTTGATAGAAGAAGAAAGATTTAATAACATGGGGTATAATGGCTTTTGGGGAAAACATCCTTGATGTTTGATGATCTTATGGTTTTGCAATTTTCATTGGCACATGTTAAGAAGAAGAAAGTTCTCTAACATGTATGTAATGGCAAATATGATAATTCTCTTAAGCAAGTCTATGGATCTTATCAACCTGTATGAAAAGCAGTCAAATGTTCTTTCGATGATAACTGATAAGTTGAAGCGGACTTTAAAATGTTTCGTTCTTCTTGTAGTTTCTGATATGAGTTCACAACTCAAGTCAAATAATTTTAAGCATATATAATAACTCGGAACCATTGCTTCATGATTGTTGAGATAACGCCCGATTTGCTTTAATCGTCAAACACCGTTTAGAGTTAATTGAAGTTTGATTTTAATTGATTAAGATAAGAAGCATCTTCGCCAACAATCATTTTTTTCCGTCTTTTTTGCTTATGGCTTTTTTCCTTTCTAGGAGTAGGCTTTATTTGCTTTTGCTTTTTGGATTATAACAAAGTGTGGCGAACAAATGATGGCGAATATATGTGCTCGTATATGTAAAGAAATAAATATTTGGCCAATTTTACGGTTAGCATCTGTTCAGTTGCTTTAAGTTTTAATTTGATGGATGAATGGTTCCTACTTTCAAAAGGAATCAAGTGGGCGTTTTTGTCGCCGATGATTTAACGAGCGGCAGTATAGGCTCACACGTAATATCCTCCCCCAGCCCACCGCACACACACACACACACTTACACACACACACAGACGCAGCTAGGCAATCGCGCTATCGACTAAAAGATAGAAGCATAGGATTAAAGTCTCTCACTAATAGCTAAAGACGACCTTCTCTGCTTTCTCACCTAAGGCAAGAAGTCATATAGAGTTCGTTTTTCCCGTGCACAATAATAAACAAGGAAAGAGTAACGAATATTTTAAAATGTAAGCAAATTTCGTATACATAACTGGTAACCATAAGCAGCTTTTTCCTTTTAATAGTGAAGCAAATTTGCATTTTTGCTTAACATGTGCTCCCATCTACTGCGCATTTAGCACATATGCAAGCGAAATAGGAAGTACATTTTTATTACACCGTTGTATGAGCAATTAAGGTTTCACTTACAGTTTGTTTTGGGTAATGAAAATGTTCGTGTAAGTCATAATCTTTAGGAATCTTAAGAGGGAAAGCCTCAAGCATTAAGAATGTGGTTCGGTGAAAATTGATATTGATTGATTGCATATGAAAAGAGAAGCAAATTATGCAAAATTTCTCTTAACAGAGGTTGGAACATATGGATAGGCAAAGGCTTGAAGACAATTATTCTGCGTTTTTCCATACAAAAGTTTAGTTCATTCCGCGTAAACAACAATTTTGATAAGACCCCGCGTTTACAGTTTCGTTCCTAACAGATCATTATTAGAAAGTTCAAGAAGTGATTCAATCAAGCGGAAAGTATATCACGAGCCATGTTCTAAGTTAAAATAAAAATAAATGGCAAAACATTTTCTTTCCCTCCTCTGCTTGGCTTAACAATCTTGTTCTGTAAGAAAATCGTTACTAGAGTGTTAGTCTTATTGTGACTATTTCTTCATGAATGTTATGATAAGAAAAAAAATTGTCTCTCCTATAACTAGTGACCGATCACTACGTCTAAATATAGATAAATTATTTTCATTATTGCGTCTCTTTGCCAAAAACTAAATGACTCTGTCCTGGTAACTCTTTGGCATTGAATTCAGTGGGTTTTCAGAGAGTAGAGTAGGACTTTCTTTTTCATTCTGATATTACAAAATGCCCTAATTAGATAGTTTCAATGGAGAAGTCCATTTGTGTCGAGCATATTATGCACTACGCCTTGCTCTTTTGAACATTGAACACATGTACACTGCAGACTATAGGCGGAAATCGGAGAATTTCTTCTTCCCGTCGAGAGCTTCAACATAGGCCCTTAGGTAGTGCCTAAAGGATCATGTGAAAGTATAAGTAAGCGATGGCGCCACAGGGCAGGAGGTAGGAGTATAGGTAGTATGTAGACGATAAGAGTCTCGCACTGCCCCCCGTGGACCCTTTTCGAGGGTCGTTTTCCACCTCAAAAAAGAAAAGAAAATTTATTTATTTTATTTCATGTTAATGAAATTCATCTAACACAAATTAATTGCCGAGAATTCGATAGAATCTTAAAAATAACTCTTATGCCAAGTATTATGAGTAAACTATTATAAAGTATATAGAAAGAATATGAATATAGAAAAAATAAAAAAATTCATGTACAGGTAAAGAAGAGAAAAAGAAACATGTGCACATCTAGCGCAGCGGCACATTCACACGCGGTACAGATCCGAATTGGAAGTGGATCGCTAACCATATGGCAAGTATGCAAAACCTTGGTAAACGATAATAGCGCATACATTCAGTTCATATTGCGACCCATGCAAAGATTTCAAGTTAATATATTTATATACGATATACGGAGAGAGCGCGTATTAAGAAGAATTGATTTGATAAAATTTAAAGAACTTAGACATTAAGGTTAAATTATAGACATCATTTAGATTTTCAGAAAGGATCCTAAACGATTTGAAAAGTCCGAGTCTTATGAAAAGAAAATTTTGTAGAGAAACGAAACGTTAAGAACATTGAAGCCTATCCTTCACCTAATAATGCCGGCATGTCAATAGCCAGAAAAGGTGATCGTTTAAATAGAAAGAAGATTTGAGTTAGGACGAAAAGCCTGTGCATTAAATAGCAACATACATGCGTAAGCATGCCACCTGCTATCTATAAAAATTTTTGCTAATCTAAATAAATCTTGATTTTTATGGCGATTCACTTTAATCAGTGATTTATAACTAGCCCTTGGATTGCCTGGCGAAGGCAAAGGAGTTGTTGATGATTCGTGCAATCTTAATAATAAGCCAATTAACCGGTATATATGATAGAAGATGTATTTCAACAATTCACTAAATTGTCATTTGAATGATTACATGATATTTTTATGATGTTATTGCTTATGATACCAACACGATGATGATAATGCTACGACGAGAGATGATACACACGTCTTTGTTTATTTGCAACCGCTCTTCATCTTCATCTATCTATGCATGTAGCCTGTTGGACAAACAAATAAATTTACTCTGATTGGATAATGAGCACGTAATTGGCATCTTGAATGGAATTGTGTTGCCAGCAAACCTGATTCTAAAGTAAGCAAACAAATCTTGTCGTGAATTATAAAAACGGAACAACACAAAACTACTTGCTTACATCAAAACAACAATCATCAGCAGCCAGCAACCACCACATATATATATATATATACACTCATATATATATATAATATATGCTTACATATATGATGACATTATAATCACGATAATCGTCATGATCATAATCGTCAACGTTTTGATCACATACTTTACATGATGATGTATACTGTTTTTGTGTGCATTCAAGATTAATTTACGGTGTCTATGTCGCTATGCAGTAATAATAATAATAATAATAATAATAATGATCCACTCGACTCTCTCAGAACTTATATATTCGTATTAATATAATAAGATTTTATTTTATCTATACGAATGTGTGTCCATATGTCCGTTTACATGTTTATGTATTTGTTTGTGTGCAATTGTTTAAATTGTTATAAAATGAAAAATATCTGAGATGAAATGTTTCATTAAGTCGTCGCTTTTGCTCTTATTTATTTATTTATTTTTTTTTGCTTTCTTTATTTGCTGAAGCGACTGGCGACAGTTACAGATTGTATTAAATTGAAAAGTGCATCTACATTGTGACAAAACAAACAACAATTATATAATTGTGATAGAACTTATGATCATCATATCACATCATTTCAAATTTCGCATATGTCAGCTGATAAGTAAATTGAACGAAAATGAATCAGAATTATGTTTATAAAGAAAGTTTTTAATTGTGAATGCGGAGTGAGTTCATAGGTCAAAGTTCTTAAAAATTATAAAGCTTGATACAAATATACTGAGAATTAACTTT